AAAAGGGAGGGAGCAGACAGGTACAATTCACAACTCCTTTTCCCCACACGTGTGCCTAACGTGGGGTCAATTCTAATTATGTCCACGCTGGGAAAACTCTTCCCACTCCACCTGCAGGCTGTCCCTGACAGACAAGTGAAGTGAAATCAGTAGGAAAAAATAAAATGTCCACTTCACTAAATCTGAGGTAGGCCAGGTTTTCCTCACTTTCCATTCCCTGCTAGATTAACATTACAGGTGGCTATTTTCCAGACCGCAATGGCTAGAACAGTGATACACTTAAAAAGATAGAGACACAGAGAGGCTTCTGGTAATATCATTCTGAGATAACTGGCAATTTAATCACAGCCTCTTTAGAGACACTTAACTACTTCAGTTACACCACAGAGTAATTCATTAGAGATCCCCCTCAAACAAATGCAACCTGTGCCTTATCCAAAAATAAGCATTGAAGCAGATGTCCGAGAAAGAATAGAAACATGAAGGAACATGAGACAAGGGAGAGGCTTGTAGGCAGAGAGATCTCTAGATTCCTGGTGGCAGTTTACTGTTTAGTGGGATAAATCACAGCTGCAGCAGAGACAGGCTGCTCTACATGATGCAGTGATTAGAACCACTCGGGAATGAAAGTAAACTTCCTCCTCTATTCCGTCCATCACCATATCCAAGATATAAAGTAAGATAAGAGGAAGGGAGGAGGGGGAGAGAACCAGGCTACAGGGTGACAAAGTATTTAGGAAAAAAAACAAAGTAAAGGAATGAAACAACAGCTTTTGAACAAACTCTTTAGGCTTTAAAGTGCCTATACATTAATCAAGATTTACTGCTATTTCCTTTTCTCTCCCTCTGACATCTACAGCCTAATCATTCAAACAGCTGTGAAAATAAAGAGTAAAACAGGACTCTTCAAAGTGGAAGCAGAACATAGGCTAATGGCAGCAAAAACCTGGTGTTGCATCAACTTTTTTTTTAAGAGAAAATTTCTCATAATTAGACTCCCATGGAGCAACTAATTCATAAGCAGCCAACTAGCTTTCCGCTTTTACACCCCTCTCTCTTCAACAACGATGGCAGCAAAAGCTGTGAACAAAAAGGTTGCATGAGAAGTTGTTCTTCCTTAATCACCTTCCTTATTCCCCAGTTTTTTCTAGTTCTTAACATCACCTTTCCCCTTCCCCCTAGAAAGATTCCTCACCTCTGTGATCCATTGGTGGACTAGACCTTGCACACAGTAAGTATAGATGTGCATGCTACAAACAAATAGCATATGCTGATTCCAGAGAAGAACATCCATGACCTGCGCACGCACCACAAAAACACAAATAGGCACAGTATGACCCCTGAATTTTGAAGAGCTTGTTAGGAATTTCACAGTTTGCTTACAGTCAAGATGAACTTTTTTTTTTTTTTTTTTAAACCCACTTGAGTTCTTCCATCTCCTTGGAAAAACAAGTAAGCTATCTTAATTCTCTAACACTTTCAGCTCCAGATCACATCATCTGGAGTGGCAGATGTCCAGTCAGAAACCTGAGAAATCAAACTTCTCTTTAGTCAGTAGAAAAAGTGGGACTAAAAGAAACATTAGAAATGTAAGATGTGTGAGTGTGCACTCAGAAACACTGGGCAGAGAGACAACCAGAACTGCACTTCAAGGAAGAGATGGAGCAGTTGCTCACCACACAGACTACTGGCCTAATAATACAGCTCTCTTTCAGTAACGCTATACCCTGTCCTTACTCACTAATGCCCAAACCTTCAACTTTGGATGCACTTTACAATAACTGAAGCTAATTTCCCACTGTTGGGCCTAATGAGATAAGTGAAAAGGAGGTGTGCAAAAATAAAGTTTTCCTCATGTGAAACTAGAAAAACTGAAGTGCACTTGACAACAGCGAAGTATGCATATGCTGATGAACAGAAATGACATTCTGAGAAAGTAACCTTATTTACTACTCAGAAGAAAAACAAAAACATCGTATTTTAAGGTAGAATAGTGTTGCTTGCCAAATTAGTGTTGCTTGCCAAAAGCAATTGCCATTGCTTTTGATTAGTGCAATTACAAGGTTAAGTTATAAAAAATATAACCACGGAAGTAACTTCCTGTGTCACTTCATATAAACGTAAATGAGTTTTTGAGGAGCTAATATAAATGAGATAATTTAATGTAGTCATCAATATGGTAAGGAAGTTTTTAAAAACGAGTATGCAAACTAGGCAAAAAACAGTTATATAAGGCACACTGAAGGTAGCTTTCCCCTAGGCAAAAGTTCTTGTCACCAGGCAATGAGTATAGAAATAGCAGGAAAAAAAAAAAGACTGTTTCATATGAGCATATCTCAGACTCCACTGTAGTGAACTTGTGACTTTCCATGAATGCCCTGAGCTGAACCTAGCAAAAATAACAGTCAATCCACTCCAGGAAAGAAATCTATACACTGTCTTCCCATCTTCTGCACAAACGCTTGCACTAACAGTTGCGTTTTTTATTTTACAGCACCTGAAAATTGTGTGTGTGGCCTGCCCTAAGGCATAGCAGTCCAAAGAAAGGTCAGTGGAAGAACCAGAACAGCTTTTCAGTCCAGTTCAAGTTCCTGAGCCTTTTAACTCTGCAGTTCCATAACAGGCAATCATGCCATCCCTTTGAATTTTTAGATGTTGAAGAATCAAGATTTAAAGCAATAAGGCAAGGCCAGTCTATAATTTGATTAAAATAATTGGATGAAGTCAGAAGATTTATCTGTTCTTAATACAATACTACACTACTCCTTTCCTCTGCCTTTTTTTTTTGGTCTTTTCACTGTGTCCTTTTAATGACCCAGGAATCTTTCAGCCTAACTCTCACTCACTCTGCTCAGTCCTTCATGTGAGCAACGAAATACTGAAATGGAAGTGAGGCAAAGGAGAATCAGAAGTGCTAGTGACAAAATGAATATATACTTAGGAGGAGAGATCACATGTGCATTTTGTGGGATGCCACAGGTTCAGGCAAACATTTATTTCACTTGGAAGTATCTGAACCTTCTACAAGGCTGCTTTCCACTTCCACATAGTTTTTTGTGGATTTTGTGTTTTTTAGTTTTTTAAGTGAGAAGAGCATGGGAGATGCACTAGAATTTCTAACAAACAACAAAGCACAAATTTTTCACAAAGAGTCTAACTTTAGCATTGACGCCGAAGATGAAGCTGTAGTTACTGCTTGTTTTGAAAGGACAAGTAGCGGTAATTTTACGTATTAAAAGGCTTACATTTTCATATTTGGGGGTTTATAGTTTACCGGTAAAATAGTTTTATTTTCAAAAATGATTAGAACCAACTGCTTCACATCTCTTCGTGGGAGTCACAGATGGTCAGTACTGATGAAAATGAGATACCCTTTTTTGAGTATCAAGGATTAAGCACCATGTTTTGAAATTCCCTTTGAATATCTTCTCTTCTGCTCATCCCCTATCCCAAAAGTCATAGACAAATTGAAAGCAAATGAAAATAGTCCCATCTATTTCAGTCTACAATAACCTACACTAACCTGCCTATAGAAGCGATGTGGGTACAACCCCTACGTTTGAGTCTCTAACTCATGGCTAGAAAAGGAGCCACATGCCATAAAAAAGCTCTGACGTAAAATGCAGCAGCTGTTCAGTTCTCTCCTTCCTACTTAATATGGTTCGAAGTTCCTGTCCAAAAATGTAAAGCTGTCTGTGGGATTAGTGGTAGCTTCCTACCTTTCCATGTCTCCCCTTAAACTTCACTCCAGTGAAGTAAGGAACTTGCTGACCCAGAGAAGGACATGTGTGAAAGAATTTCATTAAAATCTCATCCCCGTGTACAAAACTCAGCTCCCCACAAAAGGCTTCCACCAATCTTACCATATTCAGAAGCAAATACAAAACCCTTTATTTGACTTGGCTTTGTTTCAGTAACTTCTTTATAGACGAGTACATAGTCACTCACTGACCCAGGTCAAATTCAGACAAAAGTAAAACTTCAAACTAATCAGACTTCTTCCTCTGGAAGACGGAAAATCAATCACTAATTTCTATTTCTGAATTCTTTTGAGGTGCTCAGATAGATCAGTGATACTGAGACAAAGTGCTGACAAATGCACAACACTTCCTGCTGGTCTGGCCAAATCCTGCTTTGGCCAACATATTTTTCACTTTCTGCCTCAAACTGCTGTTCTGCAGCTGCAGTAACTTACTGCAAGGCTGGCTACATTTCAGTAGACAGGAAAGAGTTTATGTATAGCCCAGAACACAAGACTGAAAGGAAGCCCCTTACTCACTGAGTCCACTCCTTTAACACTGCAGACCAACAGTTCACACAACCCCTCTCAAAAACTACCTCCATCTGCAAAGGAAACACTTTTCCTGCCTCCGTTACTCTTATTTGGAACCTGTTTGATCCCAGTTAGAAAGTGCTTTGAAAAACTACTGCCTAAAAGGAGCAGAATCTCTTTAATCAGTCCTTTCAGTATTCAAAGTTCATGCCCCCGTGTAACTGAATGAGTGACAACTAAATTCTGACACAACCAAGCAAATCTCATGTCAAACTCTGAGATCGGCTGTTGCAAGTAACTACAATGCACACTCATTACTTTGAGAGTTACCTGCCATATCCCAAATGTTAACAGGCTGATATCAAATATATTAATGCAATCTGACTTCTAGTGCCAAAGGTTTAACAGATTTAGTGACTAATATTAGTTAGTAAGTCAAAAAAGGCTGACAACTAGACTTTCATTGATTTTTTTTCATAGCTTTGGTATTTTCTGTCTACACAACAAATAAGAACACCTCATCTGTAACACATTGATAATATATTTGAAGAAATAACCAAATAACCATTAAATGCTAAAACAGCAGAATCCAGACTCAAAAAATTTAACTCCCATACCCTACAACACTTTGAGAATTATCTTTGAAGGAAAAAAACTCCAGAAATGAAATTAATGACAGCACAACCTTTAAAAATAACAAACGCAGAAAACTTTTGAATAGTCTTACTTGTAATTTTTCTCCCAGAACTTGACTGGTCTTGCGTATGATGCGATAAAGATGACGCTACCAAGAAATGGACTCAGTGGAGTAGAAAAGACTGAAGTGGCCAGAGTTTGAAAAAAAAGCATAGCAGAGTCTGAAAATTGCAAGTTAAGGTAACACAAATGATTTCATCATACTGTTAATCCACTGTTCAGGCAGCTCTTCAAACTATTTATTTTTGCCTTTTTATTTTTCATTTTACCAAAGAGGTGGGAGGAGGAAAAGAAATGAAGGAAGGCAGTGCCAAACTGCCAATTACCAACACGTAATCTGTGGCTCTTCAACTCTACAGAGCTGTAGTGTAGGCCACATGTCTAAATGGAACACGTTACAAGCAGGGCGACCCTGTCTAAATCTCTGCCTGATGAGATATCCTGAGCCTAGGCAGAGCAGCAAGCATCCTTTTCCAGCTGTCTAGTGTCTCTTCTACAACATAAAGTGGCTTCTGAGAGTCTGACAGGAAAGCTTTAAAACAAAAAACAAAAAGAAACTATTAAATAAAGAAAACAACCCTGATTTGCTTTGAAATCCTCGGTTCCCTGCAGTGGAATCTCACTTCCAATACCAGTGAGTCCACTGTTCCCCTTCTGTGAATTACTGTTTATTTTGGGATGCTCTAGTATGTGGAGAAAAAATTAGGCCTCTAAAATCCAACCTGCTGGTTCAACATCATGCTTTCATGTCAATCTTCATTAACAATCTAATATTCCATGCTGATTGAATGGTAGGAAGTGTTCTGCGTTTCCTACTTTTTGAAATATATACAAAATGAGAAGGTAAATACAGGGAAATAATAAATATCACACATATCATAATGAATACCTCAATCCATTGCTTACTTTAACTGTAAATTCATATTCTCTTTCACTAGAAATCAAGTTAGGAGATGGGTAAGGATACAAAACAAGATACAAGTTGAAAGGAGCATGATTTAAAAACCCAAACTAATAACATGTTAGGTTTGAATTCCCCTTTAATTCATACCAGGTCTATGAAATCTCAGGACAAAAAGTTTCCAAGCTGGCAGGTCAGACCAGTTGTCCTTCCTTACACACTTTTCGGGAGGAAGGTGCTATGTAAGGAAGCCATGAACCAAGGAACGATTATCAAAGTATAGAGAGCAGGTGCATCTCATACTAAAATTAAGGTAAAAATCACCCAATAACCACAGTCTGTTAGCCTAGCCTGTTCTAATAAAACCCTGTATGTGCCCTCCACAGTCATTGACACTTCACAATAAATGTCTTTACACATATAGCATCATTTGTGATACAGTGTTTCCATAAAAAGGCTAGCTAGCCACTCTTTCAAAGTAATATGCAATATCTACAAACAAGTATTTGCCAAAAAAAATCTATCAAATCCCTCAAACTTATTAAAAGAGAGTGGTCTGGAATGGTGTCTCAATGCATTAGTGAGTTTGCAAAATGAACTGCCCTCAGAGTCTGAAAGTACAAAAAGCAAGAGGATAGAGCAGAAAGAGTGTCAACAAAGTTAAACTGTCACATTACACTGTAGTCATAACCAGCACTGGCTGTGAAAGATGCACAAGTATTTACAAGTGTCAGATAAGGGAAGGAGGCATGGGAGCTGAAGAGAAAAAGAGAACAAGGAGGACAGACAAGGACACTATATTAAGTTTTCTAAAGAGAGTTTGAATGTAATTATTGATTTAAAAATTGCCACCATCATGAACTGAGATATTTAGGACTCCACTGTGAACTGTTTGCATCAAAGACATCAAACAGTAGCAACAGTTTCATTTTTGCTAAAAGATATAATGTTCTATCAATCATACGCATGTTGAAAGACATTCCCGCATTTGACTTGTGAAGAGCAATTTTAATGTAGTGTTTCATATATGTAAACACAGCATGGGAGTAAGTAACAGGACCAAATTCGCTTACCTACTAGTTGACATGTAGAGTGGGCAATTATTTGTCATCAGGTTTTTCCTATTTCATGGTACCTGATCTCCTTTTAATAGGGAATCCTGTTTTTATAGTGATGCTTTAATTATGTCTAAGTAGTAAAGTATGAAAGAAGTGCCATACATTTACAGGCATGCTTTCTTGTTCTACATCCAAAGCTAGTTTTCCTGTGCACCATCTTTGTTAGGTTATATGATAAAGAAACAGAATTTGTTTCCGTATGAATAATAGATTTTCTTTGTAAGGTGCCAAATTTGAAATAAACAAACAAAAAACTTCAGCAAGAAATAAAACAATCTGAGGATCATTTCATATCATTCAAAAATCTGTTCAAATTCACATCAGCTTCAAAGCAAGTAATCAAAATTTCCCCTCCACTTTCTGTAAATGAAACTATGTGGTAAATTCAGCCCAAATTCACAGTTTGTTTCCCCCAAATCACACTTTTAATTGCAAGTACTATGAACCAAAAAAAGTTTGCTCAGTTCCAGGCAGAAGAGGATGGAAAAATTAAGAGTCAGAAGGCTTCCTTCCCTGATGTTAAAGCAGTAACCCTGAAATAGCCAAAGGCAGAAACTCTCACAAACAGAATTTCTTTTCCCAATCTCACTGTTGATTTACCAGGTAAACCTCCCTTTGACTACAAACTATCTTGACTTTATCAGTGCGCAGATAACTTATGGGACATAAAGACATTACCTTGTCTTACCCATTTAAACAGTACGAAGCGAAGCAGCAGATCTTTCCTTAAGTCAGAGGTGCATTCCTGTTCCTGTGGACTCTTTCAGCTCACAGAATCACAGGATTAGGAGGGACTTAAAGGGGTCACCTAGTCCACCTAGCAGCCGCAAGGCAGGATGAGCTATACCTGTATGACTCCAGACAGATGTTTGTCTAAACTCTTCTTAAAGATCTCTAGTGGTGGAGACTCTGCAACCTCCCCTAGGCAAAGGTCTCTGTGTGTTGCCCTTAATACCCTGCACAGCTGAATCAAGTGCATTAAAGCAAGCAGAACTTCTCATATCACTAAGCTCTATGGTAAAAACTCAATGAGGTGCTTTAAAATTTAAAAATGTATGATGTCCTGTTTGCAAAAGTGATTTAGGCAATTAAGAGACACAAATAATTAACTCTGTAAAGATGCAGCAGGCTTAGTGCCTCTGCAAACTGCAATAACCATTTACCAGTACTGTGTGCAGGTTTACGGCCGCAAAAAATAAAAATACTGTGCAGATACAAAAAGGCAGAGTTATTGCTGTTGTAGGAATAGTAACTTGAGAATTTAACCAGTATCTTAATTGCAACATTGCCTTAAAAGACAGATTTGCATTTACAAAGGATATTATAAATACATATAATAGAAAGCTAGTCTAGACGCACTTCAGCGGTAACTGTGTAAATAAGCTAACCTTGCTTTCTAACTGCTCTCCATTTTAAAAAGCCTAATTGGTACTTTTATCAAGAGTAAAATTTTTTGCAAAATTTTGTGATCAAAGGGAAACTCATTGAAATATAATCTTAGTTCTTAAATGTTTTGCTGAACAACCTTATATATGCTCTCCTGCAATTCATATCTACAACATAGATGAAAATCCTTTTTTTACTGTAGAATTCTGTAATAATTTGCTACAAATCACTCGAAGTACTTGGATAAAGCCTTGTTTTTTATAATGCTTTCTTTCCTTTTGGGGTTTATTTTGTCTGCACTTCCCTCTGTCCTACCTGCCCGTTTACACTTCCAATATTAAAACCAGCATTATTCTGGAACTGGACAATATTCCCACACCCAACTTCAGATAGTTAACTTCCTGGTGAAGGATAATTTCCCCAAAGGTAAACTGGGGGATCTAGATAAGGCGTTGAGTTGAGAATCCCGAAAGGATTCTCTCTCTCTTTCAATTATCTGCTGAGGGAGATTAGTCAGTCACTTCAGCCAACCAAGAAAGGTACTAAAAACGGTCTTTTTCTGACTCCCTGTGACTGACCCATAGACCCCTTACAATGGAAGAAAGCTCAGGGCAGAAAAGCAAGGGCATTGTGCCCCTGAAGCTCAGGGGATAAGGCAGGGTATGACTGACCACAGTTTTTGCAGTTTTTGCACAGAAAGATGACTTTATCTCAGCACAAAGGAGGCCAGAGGGTAGCCTTTGTTTCAGATCAACAGCTATGTTAGTTGAGTGGATCAATTGACTATATCACAGCTGAGCGGATCAACTAGTGATGTAAATGTTTTCTGAGTCCATCAAAAGAGTGTGAATGTCTCTCTGAGTTAGCCAGAACAGCACTGGGGGAAGTGTATATGTATCTCGGCCTAATGTAGAGTATGAAAACTGAACATTGAACAACTAACAAAAGAATTTCGAAGAGAGCAACAGGCTTGAGCTGCTTTCAACCTGCATATTCCTTCCTGGCAATCAGGGATGCCCAGCTTCGTGATGGTGAGCATATTATAGAGACCCATAATAGGAATCACGTTTGTACTGTGATTGAACTGTACATTGCAATTCTTGTATTTTCCTAAGTGTAACTTACACTTGTATTGTGATTTCAGTATATTGCTGTATCACTCTGCTAAACCAAAAATCCCACGTAATATAAAATATCTTCATATAAGTAAATTTGATATTAAACATTACACCGTCCATATGTGCAATATCCAAAAGAACCTAGTCAGAGAGTACTAGACTCTTGACATTGATTGGCGTCACTGACACTCCACCCCACACCATGTAATCACTAAGACAATTTCAAGAACAAAGTTGTTTGTTCTTTAAATATTAATAACTAAATATTAATAAGCACAGTTAATCAATGCTGCAGATGATTCAAAATATCATAATAGCATAGAGCAGAGGGAAAAATATCACTCAAGAGGGAAAAAAAATCACTCTTTGTATGATGAAAAGGATAAGGAATCAGGTATGTATACCTATTAAACAGTACGAAGTGAATTCTTCAGTGGGTCTGAACCAAAAACAGTTCACCTAAATTTTTTTTCTGCAACTTTGTTTGGGGAGAAGGAAGAAAAAAGTCTCTGAAAATGCTTTAGATGTCAATAAACTTAAGCTTAATCAGTTAAGGTCAAAGTGTTGTATTTCATTTTTATCTTTCTCCTGCTTTAAATCAAATTTCTAACTGAATTAGACTTTAAACTGAAAAATGTTTGTTTCAAAAATCCAGTAAATATATTTTAACCCTACAGACATTTTGAGGTCATTATACTCCATGGTTAAGTTTCTGTATCTACAAAAATAATGCTATCAGCCCAGGAAAGGGCACTAATGTTGATAAACATACATTGTTACTCATAAAACTATTCAATGGATTATCCTTAACCTTCTCTATCCATCTGCATAGCGAAAATATTAAAAAGCAGAATGCTTCTCAGCCTCACAATGAAAAAGGTATACAAAAGACTGCTAAAGTTCAGCTGCTTCTGAAATGGAAAAAAAAATCATGACAGTTGCAACAGAAATTGGCTCAAAAAACCAAACTTTTATCTAACATATTAAACAGAAGCAATACATAAAATAACTAACACTTTAGAGTTCAGTCAGCAATATGCCCAGCAATTTACAAAACTAGCTTCTGTATACACAGAGGTCCACTCAAGATGGAGCTAAGGTATCAGTTCTTTCAAGAGGCACCGAAGATCAGTGCCTAGGGCTGTAGAAACGTATGATCTGCTGAATATGACTGGGTGTGAAGTGGACATGCATAAGAGAACCAGTTTTGGTCAGAATACCATTTCTCAGGTTCATACCCTAGGTAGCCAAGGGTTGCACGGAAGCAAAAGAGAAAAATACTTTTCCCAGGTGACGATCCAAGCATTTTCACATTTTTCAAGAAAAGTTACCTAGACATGTCACACCTTTTTCCAACACTGTAAATAAATTTTTGTATGTACATGAAGAGGAATTTGAGAGTAAAGACAAAGAAATTTATAAAGGATATGAGGTATTGCAAAGAGCTGAGCAAAAACATGGAACGATGATCCCCAGGCAATCTGCCAGGGAGCAATATATGTCATGATGAACTGTAACTTCTGCAGTAGGTCCCACAGCTGAAAAAAAAAAAAAAAAAGGTCACTTTTTAGGTATTCAGGTAGTTTCAAATATTAACATCTGAAAACGATAAATCTTTTAGAACTGGAATGAATACGAGACAGCGTATGTTGTATCATTAATTTTCATTGTCATTAACGTCCCACATCAGTATGGCACAAAAGCATATTTTCACTTGAAATTCACACTTACAATGAAGTACACCCTTAACTACCAAACTGAAGTAGTTCCTAGAATACCTTTCTTCAAAAATACATTTGCTTTAATTAGAAATTAACATAGCAGTTACCTGCCAACTTGTAACACTACATGGTAACTTCTGTGTTCTTCTATTACCATTCTCATAGGAAGAAAGAAAGAAAGAAAGAAGTACATCTGAGGGAAAATCATGCTTTTGCAGATAGAAATTACTGTACTGAATTTGAACCTCTGTGATCTCAGTCTTTCTGCAAAATAAGTCTTTGTCTTAAGAGTCTTAATTGTTCTGCTCAGGGAAACAGATGGCCCACCCCTACCCCTACCCTGCTCCCCTCACTTGAATATTTCTTTAAAAAAATTCTGGTACGTTATTATCAAGATAATGTTTTCTATAATTTCCAGTGTGCATGCCAGCTTGGCAGAAGATATTAGGAATTAGAAATAACACTAAATCTCTAAAATATAATCAGTCAAGCAGGTATCTTTCATACAATACACGGTGAAGCAGCAGAAAAACAACAAAAACTTTTTTTTAGGAAAACATGTTCTGATATTGAGTGCACATATCAGACTGCCAGCAATTGGTTATTACAGGACAAGAAACTCCTAAGAGAAAGTGGATGTAGGAAACAGAGGAAGCTCCATGTGCAGCACACACAGCTCTGCACAGGAAAACCAGGCTTATTTCTCAAGAACACAAAGCTTGTGGGTTGAATCAATGGCAGATGCCACCACCATTCAAGCACATGCTTGGCACTAACCACGCATTGTAGTTGCATTTTCAAGATCAAACCATCCTACCATAAAAAAGGTTGCATCAACATGAATTCTTAGTGATGCACAGTATGAATTAAAAAATATATTGATTTACTTTTGGGCTGCTGTAAAATATGCATTGTGGTGCAACTACCAGCTTCTGATTCAAAAATGATGTGTGGATACTTCCTGAAACATATATACGTATTTTTTCCTATCAGTTCTCTTGGCATCAGGCCAGAACAGATCTTTTGTCTTGACTGTATTGGGGCATCAGATTTGTTTTGCACCATAGGTTCCTGATAAACTGTCAGCAAAGATTTAGCCTTCAGTAGAGGTTACTGCTAAATACATATACATGATTTGAGAATGAAACAACGATATATGCAGCATTTCATGCTCATTTGGCAAAAATATATTGAGTTTCCTACAATAAATCTTTCAACTGTTAAATGGAAAACATGACATTGCTAGCATCCTGAAAGACACTGAGGCTATATCAATGCTAGTAAATAAAATGCTTCCAGGGAATGTTCCCAGGCACTGGTATTGTATATGTAGTTAAATTGTCCGAACGGTCCCTAGCAAGGTTTAGGTTCAGCCAAAACCAATATCTCCACCCTGCAGAGAGGCTAGGAGAGTTTACTGGCATGGACAAAGGCTTCTCCATGACAGCTGGCCTCCGTGACAGAGCATGGTCCTAGGCACACTTTATTTACTAGTACGTACATAGTCAGAGAGGACGCATCTTCACTGCCAAGCTAATCCATTTTATCTGCCCTTAAGTTACCCCCCCCAAAGTATCACTTGATCACCTGTATCCACATCAGCAATGTGCTGATGGGACCTTTCATTGGGCTTTTCTATGAATTCCATTGTAAATAACTGCAAATGAATCAGAAGGGAGGCACAGAATGACTAATAGCATTAAAATATTTCAGTCTTTGTGCTACCAGATGATCACAGCAGCAGCTGCGGCGTTGTGCTAACTCAAGCTTTAACTGATACACCTTCTGCGTGAGATGAAAGCAGCGCTACGTGATTTATGTGCTTTGGTGTTTTGGCATGACTCAAATTAGGAGCAACGTTCAAAATGCAGCTTACATTAACTTCACACAGGCGTATTACGCAAAATCAGGCCAGTCCTGATGAAAACAAGCTCTGCGATCTCTTCAAGGAACAGCCTGCTCACCCCTCCTTAGTTTAACTATGAGAAATTCAGATATTGTCTACTTCACTTTCTCTGAAAAATACTACATGGGACTTGAAAACTATAACATAAGATAAAGCAGACAAGTAAAACTGAACTGAGACTAGAATTGACTTTCGTTTATTTAAACCCTGCTTAAACAGGCTGGATGGTTACTTTGTTTTACTTAATCTTGATTCATCTGAAAGGTCTGGATGAACAGCTGGGAGAAAAATTGTATCCACTAAAGATTTAAGCGAAGGGCTGAAAAAGCTAATGACTCACATTCGAAACCTCAAAAATTCAGTACTGCAGCACAACCCACTAAAGTCCTGCCTGTTACAGATTGAAATCACAAAGACATAAATCAGCCCAGCTGTGCTCAAAGCTCAGGGTTCATCAAAAGGTTCTTAAACCTCAAAAATAATTCAGGTTTTGTATTTGCTAGGAAACCAAATCCAGGAGGAAACCTTTCGGGCTTCTTGTTCCATTACATCATTTTCATCATTCTGTAATATTTACACATTCTTGCAAAATAGGCCACAGAGCCTAAGTTCTCTGTTCCCTATAACCAGTCCTACTACTTCTACTTTCATTCACTACTTGAATTTTCTGTTGTTTGTTTTAATCCCTGCCTCTTAGCTAATGCTTCCATAAGACAGGCAACAGATCTCATTTCCGTTAGCAAGAACATGGATGTAAGACAGGCATTTTAGTGAACCCCTCTTAGTTTTTGAGAGCCTTACAACACTGCACCCAAAGACCTGGACATCTGTGATTTTCAAGCTACTGCACTCATTAAGGGTTGCCAAATGCCTCTGTTAGATGTTAAAATACTGCTTCAAGGGCAGTTCTGCAAAACACCCGAAGGGCAACATGCCATTGGTGTTCTACATAGCTAACTATACTTCCTAGAGGTGATGTCACCTGTTTTTAGCAACCACAATATAGAGATTTAGGAGGGGAGACATGGTGTGTTTTGGGGTTTTTTTTGTTTGGTTGGTTGGTTGGGTTTTTTTGCTAAAGCAAACTAAAAAATATTGCTCCTTATCAGCAATCTTATCTGCCTCCTTTACTACATATTTCTTCTATATCTGATACAGGAATTCAAAGGATTCACAAAGTGCTATTGTTTTCTCACAAAGAAACAAGCTGCTAACATTTGTTTTCATAAACATAAAGAAGCTGATCCTCAGAAACACAATCAGTCTATTATTTCAACTACAACTGCCTGTGTTTCAGTCTTCAGTAATCATAAGGCTTTAAAAGGAAAACCTTTTACATCTTTTTTAAATTGTCAGAAACAAGATTAGGAAGGGTTAGGAAAGCCAAAGCCCTTTTAGTAGAGTTAAATTCCGTGAGAGATGTGAAAGGCAACAGGAAAGACTTCTACAGGTATATAAGCAGCCTAAGGAAGACTAGGGAAAATGTGGACCCACTGCTGAATAGGGCAGCATGGTGACAACAGACACAGAAAAGGTTGAGGTACTCAATGCCTTCTTCACCTTGGTCTTTACCGGCAAGACTTGGAATCCCAGGCTCCTGAGACCTGGGAGAAAGTGTGGAGAAATGAAGACGTGTCTTCAGTTGTGAGGGATCAAGTCAGGAAATACTTCAGCAAATTGGACATCCACAAGTCCATGTGCCCTGACTGGATGCACCCACGAGGGCTAAGGGAGCTGGCCAATGTCATTGTGAAGGCACCCTCAATCATCTTTGAAAGGTAACGGTGACTGGGAGGGGTTCCCAAGGACAAGAAGAAATCAAACGTCACCCCTATCTTCAAGAAGGGCAGAAAGAAGAATCCAGGGAGCTAGACTCTAGATCCCTGGGAAGGCCATGGAACAAATCCTCCTGGATACCACTTCCAAATGCATGAAGGACAAGAAAGTGATTGGGAGTAGTCAGCATAGATTTACAACGGGGAAATCGTGCTTGACCAACCTGACAACCTTCTAGGATGAAAAGATCAATTTGGCAGATGAGCCAAAAGCAGTGGATATCGTTTATCTTGATCTTAGTAAGGCTTTCAGCACTGTCTCCCAGAACATCCTCATAGACAAACCAATGAGGTACAGACTGGACAAACGGATAGCGAGGTGGACTGAAAACTGGCTGAACTGCCAGGCTCAGAGGGTTGTGATCCACAGCATAAAGTCCAGCAGGAAGCCACACACTGGTGGTGCACCCCAAGCATTGATATTGGGGCCAATACTGTTTAATATCTTTATTCACAGCCTGGATAGAGTGCACCCTCAGGAGGTTTGCAAAACTGGGAGGAGTGGCTGATGCATCAGATGATTGTGCTGCCATCCAGAGGGACCTCAACAGGCTGGAAAAATGGCTGACAAGAATTTCTGAAGTTCAGCAAAGGGAAGTGCAGAGTTTTATGTACCTGGGGTATTCATGTACCTGAGGAGGAATATCCACGCATCACTACAGGCTGGTTGCCAACCAGCCAGAAGCAGCTTTGCACAAAAGGACCTGGGGGTCCTGGTGGACAAGTTTAACACGAGCAAGCAATGTGCCCTTGCAGCCAAGAAGGCCAACGGCCCCCTGGGCTGCACTAGAAAGAGCTTTGCCAGCAGGTCAAGGAAGGTGATCCTTCCCCTCTACTCAGCGCTGGTGAGGCTGCACCTGGAGCGCTGGGTCCAGCACTGGGCTCCCCAGTACAAGGACATGGAGATACTAGAGTGGGTCCAGGGAAGGGCCACAAAGATGTCTAAGGGACTGGAACATCTGACTTACAAAGAGAGGCTGAGAGAGCTGGGACTATTTAGCCTGGAGGCTCAGGGAGCAATCTTATGAATCTGTATAAATGCCTGATGGCAGGACTAAAGAAGAGAGTTCCAGACT